GATTAGCCCCACGCCACACTTCTTTCGATCGCCGTAAACATGAATTGCTTCTCCTTTCGGGGTTTGAATCTTGATCATATTTTTATTACATACTATTTGCGCATGATTGTTGGACAACCAATCCATCCCTAAGACCACGTCAAAACCCCCTAAGCGCATCGGCATAAGCCTAACGGGGAAATCCTTCCCATCTATAACGATTGTGCATTTATCAAATACTTCGTCTACCTTACACTGACTACCGTCTGCTGTTTCTATAGTGTAGGTTTTGTCTAGTCTATAGGCACTCCTATTCAGACAGTGGCATAAGGTGGTAGACACAAAACTACCGTTTGCATCCGAATCAAATAATACATGTGCATACACATTGTTGATAGGGAACATACCGGATATGACGTCGGGCGTTTCCTTGGCCTCCTCCAAGGTCATGTTGTAAGCTCGGCCGCGTCCCTTAGGTAGCTCCTTCCTATTCTCCGATCTCCTTCCAAATCCTTTATTCGCTGTCTTCTCGTGGGGTGTCACACTATTCTGACGCTTTGGGCAGTCAGGTCGTATATGTCCCGCAGCCCCACATTCGTAACAAGTTTTTCCTTCTGGGCACTCTCGCGCGGTGTGCCTAGGTTTGTCACATTTGTAGCATGTCAGGCTTCTCGCTCTGCACTCTCCCCTATGTCTCTTGTTGCATATGTTACATTGGGGAATAGTGAGTTCCTCGCTTCATGTTTTTGCCGTAGTCGGAGTCCATTTGGGTTTCTTGTCGGGCCTGTTCGACCCTTCCCATTTTCTCTTTGCATCCCTTCTATCATAATTCTCCCTAGCGTTGTTCTCTTCTGCTACCTTTGCCATCTCTACTGCTTGGACAAACATGGTCGGCTTGGTCATGTCTACGTACCGTTTGATTTCGATTCTTAAGCCGTCCTTGAAACGACCTATCTTTCTCTCCTCAGTAGCCACCTGGTAACTGGTGAATCTTGTTTTTTGAAGAAAATCATTAACATATTCTTGAATCGACAACGAGCCTTGCCTTATCCTCAGAAACTCTGATTCTAGTTTGTTCATCTCTGATTGTGTACAGTACTTATCCATCATCATCTTCTTCATTTGCTCCCAGGTCATGGCAGCAATATCCTCATCACCTCTGATTGCACACTCAGACTCCCACCAATGCAATGCATAGTCCACAAAGGTTGTAGCAGCATAAGTCACCTTTTGATCTTCCGTGCATCTACAAATTTTGAAGCAGCTCTGCATCTTGGCTACCCAGTTCATCAGGCCAACTGGGCCCTCTATTCCTTTAAATTCCTTC